GATCGGTTCAGCATCCTCCATGCCCATGTTAGACCAATTATGACTGTGAGAACTATGCAAGCACTTATGAACTTTGATGCTTCCATTTCTATCCCTTGCATGGTGAAGACAAAGAAAACAGAGGAAGCTGATGAATGAGGAAGTTTCATAGAACCATATATGTGCTTTGCAGAGAGTCCCAAGTCAATTTCTTTCCACCTTCTCCTTTGTCTTCTTCTGAATTGTAATGGACATGATTAATCTTTTGTTCTATACATACTTTACAAGTGTTTTAATAAATTTTACCTTCCTCCACCGAAAATTAAGAATATTTTTTTAGTAAGCACGTTTTTATTATTATTTTTTAAAAATTTGTATTTAAAAATGTTCTTATCCAAACAAGCTTCTAGATTAAACGAGTAAAATTATCCTTTACTTGCCAAGCTTGAATTGACTAATAGATGAATGTTTAGCTTAGATCGGGTTCTTTTATCCACACTATTTTTAATATAGAAAATTTTATTTAAAAATTAAAAAATATATATTTTAAATTTTAAATATTTGTGTAATTTTAAAATATGAAATAATAAACTTTACAATTGTATCGCAAATAAAATAAATAATATTAGTTTTATGATGCTGAAAATTTATAAATAATATTTTATATGTTTTAAAATATAAAGAATTTAAATTGGATATAAACTATTGAAATCAAATATTAAATAAAATAAAAGATCATTTTAACATCTAATATGTAATTTATATTTTATTAGCACTTATCTAAACCATTAAGGATCTCTAAAATAAGTGTTTTTTTTTTCAACTTTTCATTAAAGATTTTTAATGATATTAATGTTGTAAGTGTACTTTTTATTTTTATTTTTATGATGAATGCAAACTTAAAACACAAAAACAGAAGGAAAAAAAAATCTAACAACTATTTAGCATGTAATACTCCTGCATCGGCATGTTATAAGTGTATTTAAATTTTACGTAGGACATATAAAAAATAAATTATATTAAATTTTAAAATGAAATATTTTAATTTACAATAAAATTATATATTTTAAAGAGAATAATAATATAATATAAATTGTTTAAGTCAATTATTGTATAATTATAAACGAATAATATATATATATATATATAGTGTGTGTGTGTCACTTTTCTTGTTTACCTTGTCAAAAAGGTTATAAAAATCTCAATTTGGGTTGAAATCTTATTTAGAAATTATAGAAAACCAAATAAAACAAAATACATAATAAACTAATGCACCAAAAATTAAATAAAAGAATCTCAATCTAACAAAATGTAATAGGAAAAGTAGTTAGAAGTATTTCTATTTTGGCATGTTCTAGTTTTAGCCACATAGATGATATAGTGGATTGTTTTCAAACATAATTATTCTATTTTTCTTATTCTCGATATAGGAAACCAAAGTAACAGAATTTAAAACAAAGAAGTTGAGTAATAACATTTAATTTGTATTGTTCAAATAGAAAATTGTGTTCGAGAAGTATATACCATATTTATATCATTAACTAATTAAAAATTATTATCTTTTATTTTTAATTAGAAATTATATTAAGTATCACTTTTAAAATAATTATTATCAAAAACAACAAAACTCATTATTTATTAGTATTTTAACTTATAAAATACATAGATTAAATATTTATTATATGTAACTAAAATTTATAATAATTATATATACAAATAAATATTATGTTTGTATGTATAAATCATATTTAAAATTTGTAAAAATAAATATTTTTAAATGTATAAATTATATTTCAGATTTGCGATAAATAATTTATATTATAATACAATATTATTTGTATTTATCGATAATTTATTTTAATAAATATTAAATTTAATTCATAAATAATTATGATAAATAAATAATTAATTTAGATAAAAAAATTTAATGAATTAAAACATATTAAAAAATATACAATTATATTTTTCTTACCATACACAATACATAAAAAATAAAATCTCACAATTAAATAGTTATATACACCATAAAAAATAGACAACTAAAATTCTATATATCTCTATAACGTAATATAATATACATAACATCTAGTTGTCACTACATTAATACAACAAAATAAACATTAACTCTTCTGTTGAATCTCGTCCAAAAACATGTTTACTCGTCACAACATAGTACTTACTCCTAATTTACTCACATATTAAGGTATGGTCATCAGAATTCCAACCACAAGAGAATCAAACAAGATAAACTCACAGAACCCGCCATCATATCAAAGCAACATCATATAATAAACAACTAAAAGCAACACGTTATTCAACTTTCATATATCAACTTTAAATAACCATAATATATACATAAATATACACAATATCAATTGGTGCATCATCACGCATATACAACTTAGGAGATCTCTAACAACTGAGGTTGAGCGAGTTAGGTGACATAAACTTTATTAAATCCAGCTTTAGACTTACCTCGGTCAGGTCAGGTATAAGACAACGTTAAAAACTCTAAAGATAACAAAGTATAGACAACAATAATTAATTACTTAAGTGTACCACTTAGACTTGGAGATCTAATACTACTATTACTATTTTTGTTAATCAATTTTAACAATAATGTATTACTATTTTTGGACTTTTAAATTAACATGCATGTACCTAACTTGCTGATAACTAAATACTAATAGATTAAAGTAACACAATTTGTAATATAGTAAAATTTGACACATTTTAAAAATAAAAGGACTAAAATTCAATGTTTTGAAAATGAGAAATTAAAAATAAACTTTTACGAAGACAAAAAAAAAATATTTAACCCTAAAAAGTAGGTTTAGAATAATGTGTTAGTAACATTCTTATTTTTTTTGTTTAACAACATTAAAATAATGACCACAACTTTAATATTTAAATTTTTTCCATAATTTATCATTATTCAATTATTTAATGCAATATTAATTAATCTTCTCTAAATTTGTTTCCTTTTAAATTATTTAATCACCACAATTAAAAATAATGTATTTAATGAAGAGGTAAACTATTTTAATGAAATTGTATAAAAAATATACATTAATTATTATATTTAATCTATATACAAAAATCTTAAAATGTAATAATGAAAATATTACAATATTTAGTATATAATAATATTAATAATTTTTAAAAATTATGGTCTAATTTTAATAATAATAATTTTTTTAAAAATCATGGTCTAATTATCTTTTACTTTTCTACTCCTTTTAAACCATATACTTCTTTTTATTTACTCTAATTCTCCCCTCTTTTTCATGTGTGTAACTTTTGCATTCAACAATTTTTTTTTTCCACCAATGACTATTAAAGCACATTTCAACATTGTGTGAATCAAAATTAAAATTTAGGAGCCAAAAGAGGGACAACAACCCAATTCCTATTATCTTCCCGCCCAAACTCTCAACATCAAAACCCTAGCGCCTCGCACTCTCCCACACACCGCAATCGCGTCGCCAAAATCGATCATAACCTTCGTTCTCTGTTGCTGTCAACGCCACGCTGTGGTTTCGTTGTTACAGGTTCTGATCTTCACCTACTATGTGATTAATAGATTAATTTCATCTAGTTTTTATTTTGATTGAGGGAAGCTTTTGTGATTTTAATTGGTCACGTGCTTTGTGCTCGTCCTCTGAATGGTACCAAAAATTTAGTCAATTATGTCGATTTTCCTGTATGATTTCATTCTTATGCATGAAAATAAATTCTTTGAAGAAGAAATGATGTGTCTGTGATCATGGCTTTTGGGGTGTGTATTTTGTGTTGCTAAAGAGATGCATATGCTTTCTGTTAACCTCTGATATCCATTTAGGTTCCCCACTCACGTTGTGAATGAGATTTGTAATTAACTTCGTGTGAAAAGTGAAAACCAGAGATTATCTGGAGAGCAGTTGATTACTTCCATGTCTCGTGCATGATTAAAAAAAGGAGGCAAAAAATACTTGAATTAAATGACACAAAAATAACATTTTTTTTTAAATTTATCTTTATTAAATTAAAATTCAAAAAGTAGATGAATTAAGCAAAAGCAAAAAAGATTCAACAATGTATAAGAATAGTCCAATAATTTCTGAAGCAACCATTCCAATTCAATAAAAAAAATTGGGCACATTGTTCACTGGAAAAAAAAAAAGCTCTGAATGCTAAAAAGGACAGAAAATGGAGGAGAAAAAAGTCAATGAAACATAAGCTGAAGCCTGAAACAGGTTCAATATAGTGACTGAAAATTTAACACCAGATCAAGCAAGAACGCAAGCCTTAATTTGCCATAGATAAACTTAACAAGAGTCTCATGTCAATCCTTACCATTGTTATAGGTATTTGTTATTTTGTTTACCAAATTCAGCTAAAGTTTTAATTTCCTTTGTTTTGGTTCAGTTTAAAGGCTTTGTGATGATATGATCTACGGCAGCTGTATCACAGCTTCTAAGTCACTGTAAGCATTATATGCTTCCTTTAAACCTGTTTTGTTATAAAAAAAATCAGATCCTTTGCTGGTATACAATGGTTGTAATATAGGAATTCATTCTGGGCTTCTCTCTCTATTTTTTTTTTTTTTTTATGTTTGAATTTTACTTGACCCTGGAGAATGTTTGGTCCAATGGGTGATTATTTTTTTCCTGGAAGAAAATTCAAAGGCTTGCAATTTTAATTTTATTGTTTGTAGTTACGCTGGGATTTCTGAGTGACGGAACAAAGGATAGAGGGAAATATAGGAATCTATCATAAATAGTCTTTTTTCTCAAATTCTTTTCCCTTTTATTTCTGCTTCTATAAGGATTGCTTGTTCTTTTGCAGGATTTTCAGAGCATTAGTGTTGCAGAAGTCATTGAATTCTCAAGTAAAATTCTCCTCCAAGTGGTCTCCTAAGAAGGTAAGAATGGAAAGTAATCTTAATGGTTGCATAGAGGGAAGCAAAAAGGAGTCTAGGGGTGCCTTGATTGTCATAGAAGGCTTGGATCGTTCTGGGAAGACTTCTCAGTGTAGCAGACTAGTGCCCTTCTTGGAGGGACAAGGGGTCTCCGCTGAATTATGGAGATTTCCTGACAGAACTACAAATGTTGGGCAAACGATATCTGCCTATCTTACTAACACATCTCAATTGGATGATCATACTATTCATCTCCTCTTCAGTGCTAATCGTTGGGAAAAGAGGTTTCTGCACTTTTTTTTTGTAATATTTTTTCCTTTTCCAGATAATTTGTATCAGTTGCATTATTATCTGTCATTTGTGTTGTTCTAGGTTTGCATTAGTGAAGCTTTTGTTATGTGAATTATGATTATTTCTGAATTTCACTGATAGCTTGTGGTTGGATGGTTGGGTTCTTAGCAGCTTTTAGTTTAGATTATGGTTCAGAAAAAGTAGCATGAGAAAAACATAGCAAATTCTTGATTCATGATACTTGAATTTTGACATATGGTCATGTCTACCAAGGAAGTGGATAACTTTTCATAATAATAGGGGTATGAAACAGGAAACAAAGCCATACCATGTTTAAGGCATTCAAATCCTTTATTGAAAGGAAAAACTTGAGCTGTCTTAATGGTTTTAGTAAATAAACTAATAATATCCTATGTTATGATATGAACATATGTTTTTTGTGACCAGAAGCAAGGTGTGTTGCATCACTGCAAGCTTAACTTGCAATACATGATGTTGCACGTCATCCACATATTTGAACGAGAAAGCTGAGATTTAATTTTGAGGGAAGCAGATTAATAGAAACTTGTGAAGTGGCAGTCACTAAATAATATGGCAGTTAGGACTCTAGTGGTATCATGACTTTGTGTGTTAACGCTATGCTTATTGGGTGATCTTTCTTGGGGGTTCATACCACTCGAAGTCATAACTCTTTGGGTATTTTTGTTAGTACATTTTTTTTGTGAATGAATACTTTTTTTGCTAGTACTTTTGATGACAAGTAAATTGTAAATTTCCAAGATTGCATTTTAATATCATCAATCAAGTTGCATTTTTTCCTTGCAGGTCATTGATGGAAACAAAACTGAAAACCGGAACAACCCTCATTGTTGACCGTTATTCTTATTCTGGGGTAGCTTTCTCATCTGCCAAGGGACTTGATATTGAATGGTGTAAGGTAAAAGATTCAATGTTGTTCTTTATTTTTTAATTGGCCTAAAAAAGTATGGGTAAAACATGAGGACTTCTAGGAGTTCTTCCATTCTACTACAGTTTATAGTTTACATAAATACTTGTGTTCTCTCTCTGATAGAGTATTAGTAAACTGAATTTTGTTTTTTGTAGGCTCCAGAGATTGGGTTGCTGGCACCAGATGTAGTAATATACCTTGGCATATCTCCAGAGGTATGTAATGCAACACTTCTAGCTGCATGGCCAGTAAATAGTGCTTTGTTGGATTAGGTTTTAAGGCATTCTAAAAGCTGCTTTGTAATTGTTTGTCAGAAATACAGTTTTAGATTCAAATTTTTGTCTACATTAGTTTATTTTCTTTCTTGCAGGTGAAAAGTTTGTATTCCGGAAAACCCTGCTTATTTTCTAAAAATTGTTTCTCTGCTTTGTTCCATGCTGTTAGGATCTAAGATTTTAAGGGGGTGGGGGTCTACGAAAGTTTGATGCGTCACTTTTACCAATAGAGTGGTTCAAGTTTTTAATATATAGATAAGTTGTGCTATCTTTTATGTAAAATCCATTTATCTGGATTTCTGATCTTTCTCACTGTTAATTGGCTAGCATTTAGTAGCTTGGTTCATGCATATAACTGTTTTTTGCTTATTTTATTTATATTTATATTCTCTACAAATTCAATCAGAAAGCTGCAGAAAGAGGGGGGTATGGAGGTGAGAGATATGAAAAGCTGGAGTTTCAGAAGAAAGTTGCTGATTGTTACAAAGTTCTTCGTGATGACTCCTGGAAGGTAATTACTGTTTGTGTGGCCTTTGCTCCTGAAATTAGCAGTTCTAATTGTAATGCGTTGTTGCCACTGTCTATCTGGCAAAGTGGCAACACCTCGTTTTAGTTTTTATCAACTTTATGCAAGGTTTAACCACAAGCTTAACATTTTCTTTTGTTCTTCTCTTCTATTTCTACTTGCTTTATACAGGTTGTTGATGCTTGCCAATCCATAGAAGATGTGGAGAAACAATTGCAAGAGATTGTAACTGATTGTGTCGCAGAATGCCGGAAGGGGAAGCCCCTTTCCACCTTGTGGTCGAGGCAAACACACCTTGAAAAGGATGTCATATGAACAAATTTGCCCGATATATATTTAGAACACTAAAACCCATTTGTGTGTGTGTAATTCTGATTGCTATTTTCCTACATATTATAATCACAAATTAATTTGTTTGCCACGCAATTTGAAGAAAGAATGAGAATTTTTTATCCGACAAGTGTTATGCAGCAGCACTCTAGCCCTGATGAGCTCTAGATGTTATGTCTAAATTTCACCAAAGTTGAATTACATTGGCTGCCTTGAGTGTTTAATGATTAAATTTTATTTGATATTTTGTTTCATTAATTCAAATCAATATATGAAATAATTTTATGATTATCCATCAATTTGAATTAATGAAATAAAATATTAAATTTTTTTTAATTTGTAGACTTATGTATTAAGAATTTTAAATTCAATAATTAGATTATTAAAATTTGATGTAGAATGAGTTATTGAATAGAGTAAGTCTGTATAGATTTATTCATAAAATAAATGAATCTTTTCTCATATATATATATATATATATATATATGCTTAAATATATTTTTAGTCTCTTAAATTTAAGAAATTTGTTTTTGGTCCTTTAAATTTAAAATTATTTTTTTTAGTTTTTGTAATTTAAAAAAAAAATTTATTTTAGTCTTTATATTCAAATTTTGTTAAAAAATTTATCATATATTAATGCATAAAATCAATCTATTGATATCTCTGTTAATGAAAATATCATATTAAATCTAGTTAATATTATATAATCGTCTTAATTTGTTATTTTTAAATATTTTATTGGTGATTTGATGGATTAAAATTTTTTTTTAAAGATTACATGAATTAAAAACAATAATTTTAAATTTGAGAGAGTAAAAATATTTATTTGATTTGGAAGTGGTTATAAAATGGCACGGTTTTTTTCTTCTTTTTTTCTCCTTTTTTAGACTTTCTTTACTGAAAACAAATTAATAAGATAGAATCAAATACATGTATTTTTTATGTAGGCACATAATTTCATTTTTTTTATGTTTTTCTTTATTTATTTTATATTATTGTAATTTAAAAATATGTGATTTTGAATTATTTTCATCTGTAATAAGGATTGAACTTAGATTCTTAATTTTTAAACATTTCAATCTCTCTCTACTCAATCATTAGACTAATCCTAATGGTTTGTTAAGCAATTCTTTAAGAACAATAAGTTTAAATTGTTAATATAAAAAATAAATTAGATTGAGTTTATACTTTTCTTAATCAACAAAATAAAATACTCCTAAAATACGAATAAACCTTCTTTTTTTTGTCAATTAATCTTCGAATGTTTATTAATTTGGGCCAAGGCCCCAAGGCCTATATTTCTCAAATGTGTATTGTCCAATGACCCAACCACCAAAGAATAATCAATTGCTATTGCCATACATAAATAAAGCACGAAATAGTAATATATAAAATTATAAAATATCAAAACAACTTCCCACAAAATTGCGATAGAAGGGAAAAATGTATCATACTAGCAAAGTAGAAGAGCATTATATATGTACATTTTCATTCTTCAATTTGTTCACCAATTAATTCTCTCTTATATTCTAACATTCTTTGATATCACTCTTACTAGAATCTGAAGGCATTACAAGAAAAGTTCATACAGTATATGCAAGAAACTCGCAAAAGATTCAATTCTTTGGGATAGTGTTGATCGTTTATAAAGTAAAAAATAAATAAAATTATTACTATATTTTTTAATTTATTATAAAATGTTTTTCAATTGATTAAATTGTTATTTTTTCTCATACATTATACTTTATTATTTTAACATTTACTCTTATAATATAAATTATAATTCTTAAATGTTTGTAAAAAAAAAAAAAAGACTAGTTTAATGAATATCTATTATTTTGTTACTTCTTATTTTCAAGTTTTACTGTATTATATTAAGATATAATATTTAAATTTATTATTATTATTATTATTATGTTATTTTAGACTCTTGTTCGGTATGATAATATATAATTATATATGCATGTTAATTAAGTGCAATCAATCATATTATTTTTTTCATGAATTATTATTTAATTTATTGTGCTAAATAAAATATTATTCAAAATTTAAGTTAATGTATCTAATTTTTCAAAAATGTTACAAGTAAATATAAGCAAAATATTATTATATGTAATTTTAATTGAGAGTGAGTTAAAACTTTTGGCCACTTTTGTTTTGCTTTTACTAGTTGGGTCAAAACACTTTATATCTTTGTGTATTTTGTTTAAAAGTAATATAAAACAAAAAGTATAAATAATAGAAGTTAGAACATGTGAATTAAGGTAAGGAAATGTATAATTAGAAAAAAAAGGTATAATAATCTTAAACAACAGTGGTTACAAAAATAAGATGGTGGTTATTATTGATAAAGTAGATGAACAATAAATATTTTTGCATACATATTATTTTTTACCATTAAAAGATATGATGATTGAAAAAAAAATAATAAAAAAGTATAAATGCCTAGAAAATGTGGAAACGAAAGGGGGATATTTCCTTTATATATAACTAGCAAAATAAAGACATCTCATGTCTTATGAATATTGTGTGTGAAAGTTACAAAATTACAAAGAAAAAATTGTTTAGGATAAATAATAATTTTTTATTTAAATTAATAAAATAAAATTATTGAATTGTCCTATATTAAAGAAAGTATAATTACCAAAATAAATAAAAGGTAAAAAATATTTTAAAAATATATACAAAAATATTGTATGATACTTTATGTCTCGTCATAAAAAAAAATAAAAAAAATAAAAAAAATAAAATTTTTATTAAATGTACAATTAACTTCAAAATGGAGGGATAATTATATAAATTAATTAAAAGATAAAAATATATTTCAATAAATTAACTAAAGGTATAAAAATTAAAAGATGTGAACATAAAAATAAAATATCTTTTTTTATTAATATTATAATATATAATATAGAAGTATAAATTATGAAAAATGAGGTAGGTTAACTCATTTTTTTAACCAGCAACATGTCAACATAGATAGACTATTTTGCCACATTTGTGATTGTAATATATATATATATATATA